TTGATATGCTAATCAGTGAGATCCTTAGTGGGGATCAAAACCTGGGTATGTTGGGACAGTCTGAGAATTCATCTAAGTGGGTGATCATAGTGACAAGATTAGCTCCTTTGTCGGACAAAGGTAATGATCGGGGATGCACTCTCTCTGATGGAAGCCAAGACTGCCGGCAACCATTTTCAATCATTGAAATTTTGTTTTTGCAAAATATATTTATATACTGATATACATATATATATTACGGTTTCTAAACGTTTGCAAAACTTTTTAATTCCCGGGATCCATGTGAGCAGAGAGTGCAACACTGTTCCTTRCAGCCGAGGGAGAGGTCCTCTCTTATCGGGCAGTGTTTGATCATTATGGGCTGAGAGGTTAAGTATAAGACCATTGATGGTAATACCTGATGGGCTAATCTTGCATCTGCCCACAATCCCTGGGTGTTACAAGGTGGCTTGGCCCAGGGACCACTTAGGGTAAGTGTTGGGCCCATTAGGAGCCCATGTGATGGGCTTCAGGGGGTGCACTGTCCATAACAGTGTATTCGGCCAGGCCTTGTAACAAAGGTTGGGTTGAACCCATGTGGCTGATGTGTAGATCAATGTTTGAGTCCCACGCCATACATGGAAGCCCAACTGGGCAGTAGTTTGGAAGGCTAAGTGAGCACATGTCCTTAATGGGCCTAAAGCCCATTTCGAACTGGGCTGATTTGATCAGTTAAATGAGGGGCGAAATCTGAGATTGGATTAGTAGATTTAGAAATTTCCTGACGGGATTATGAAAAGGCTGATCTAATCTGCAGATAAGATAAGGGTTTACCCTTATCACTTAAAGGGGCTGTTGATCCAAATATGATTTGGATCAGCAACTCCTAATGGGATTAGGAGTTGATCCCTTTGAGCTTATAAAAGGAGGAGGGGGCGGCAGCCTTTAGAGACATAATATTCACATTCTCTTCAGAGTTGAAATCATAGGAGAAAGATTTCAGCAACCCTGCGGAATTCTTTCTTGCCGCCTCCTTCCTGCCGCCGCCATACCTACCAGTTCGATCTCCTGTTTTCAGTGGGAGTGATTAAGATCAGATCTTGATATTAGTCTTTTGTGAAAGGACTAATTGGAAGTTGTGCTCACGTGCCATCCTGCTGATTCTTGCGAAGGATCTGGTTCTTGGGAAGAACACTGCTGACTCTGCTCCATCCTACACTGCACCATTTTCAGTGGGAGCAGTTTTTGGTTCCTTTCTTGGGCGTGAACACCTCCATTGGGAGATACTCTTTCTCCATATTAGGTATAACCCTTTCCTACTGCTTTTGTTCAGATCTGGTTCGGTTCTTGGTTCAAGATTGATCATTGAAAAATATGATTTTTCTAAAATAGGGAATACAATTCGCAGTGGGAATGGGAGAAATTTTTGAAATTTGCCCATTCTATTCCGCAAGATTCGGGCGTCCATACGATGGATCTCTCATTCCTTCGGTTTTATCTTGGCGATCGGTTTGCAATCACTCGGCTGCACCATAGGGGGCAAATATGGTTTTAAGGAGAGTGACCAAGTGGCACGACTCAACGCTCTATCTTCCTACAATTCCCAGTTTCGAGTTCTTGCAACAACTTCACACCATTGCAAGTTCGGATTGGAAAGTGATTATCGATAAGTTCCATCTTCTCTCTTTACTATTATTACAACATTCCTAAAACTATATTTATGGAACCTATCTCTACTAATCTCTTCATGAAGAACCGGATACTATCAACAGTTCTCGATTTCTTTAAGATTAAACCCTTCAATGGAACCAACTACAAGCGTTGGAGAACCAACCTGTTTTGTTGATGTAGAACATTGGACCATAGCCAACCACCTCTGCACCAACCATATCCTAAACTACTTGTCCAATGAACTGTACAATGTTTATTCTTCTTACAATTATGCCTATGAAATTTGGAATGCATTGGACACTAAGTATGCTCTAGAAAATGCTGGAAACAAGAAATATGTCATTGCCAACTTCTGGCACTTCACCATGAAAGAAGACATGGACCTGTCTGCCTAAATAGATGAGTTCCAAATTCATTGTCGGTTCTCTTATAGAAAAAACTACCACATATATGAAATGATTTCAAGACCAATATGAAGGATAAGAGGATGGATACTACTTTGGACCAAGTAGTAGTTCGAATTAAGATCGAAAAAAAAAAGAACAGAAAGAAAGATGATGACCAGTTTTCCAAAACCAACCTGGTAGAGGAAAAGACTGCAAAATCCAAAAAGAACTTGAACGTGAAAAATGATCAAAAAATCAAAAAGCAACAAAATAAAGGAAACTGCTATGTATGTGGCAAACCCGGACATTACAAGAAGGACTGTCGGTGCCGAAAGAACTCTAGGAAATCGAAAGTCAATTTGATTGAGGGTGTTATCACAATAATGGTAATTGAGGTAAACTTAGTTGATAAGCCGAAGGAGTGAATACTAGACACTGGTGCTATTAAGCACATATGTGGGGATTGCAATTCCTTCTATGAGTATACAACTCAGTTTGAAGGAGAGAAAGTCTTCATGGGAAATTCACAAACTTCGAAGGTCATCGGCAAAGGAAAGGTGCTCTTGAAACTGACTTTAAGAAAAATCCTAATGCTGAATGATGTGTTGCATGTGCCAGAGATCCGATGAAATTTGGTATCGGGAGCACTCCTCAACAGAGTGGGACCGAAACTCATATTGGAGGATTGCCTATACTAAATATTTCTGATATTGTTATGAATAAAACTGTTTCTTCTTCTGCTTATATTGTTTAATCTTTTGATATTTGGACATTGTAGTGCTTCTTTAGGGGTTTTGAATGTTCCTATTAATTTTACAAATGAAAAATGTCAAATATGTGTAGAAGCAAAATTTACTAAGAAACCTCATAAAAGTGTACAAAGAGAAACTGAACTATTACAACTTATACACAATGATCTAAGAGACCTTAAATGTCATTAAGTTTTCATAAACTACAAAACTGACGTAGAAAATCAGTTAGGAAAGAAAATAAAAAGACT